TCTCGCAGTATTAGTTTGTGCACAGCATGAACCGTTTCCGGAACGACAACTGATTTTGGACGACCTCCACGAAAATCGTGTTCGAGTGAACTACGACCCCGGGTGAACTTGCTGTACCATCGATAAACACTGATCCTGGATGGAGCTTCATCCCCAAAAATTGAACCAAGTTCATCCATGCATCGCTGTTGAGTTAGTCCACGTCGAAAGTTGTCGCGCGAAAATGCCTACGGTTCAACTCCATAACTCGGCCGAAACAAAATCTTATAACTTAGTGTAAACAACACAAATCGCGCTCAAATTTTGCAACGGAACCTCAAAATAGTCAAACTTTACGATAGTGGTGTCAGTTGCTAGTTTGCTGCACTAGTGTTTCCAAATCCCGAAATATAAAAGGCAGCCCTCGTATAAATCAGTAAATAAGCCATATTGGGCTGACGTTTCGACGAAGTCTCCTTCTTCAGAGCCTGAAAGGATCATAGCAATCTGTGACTACATGAGTAAACTATAACTTAGTGTTTTTGTGGAAAAACGTGCTTACACTTCCCTAAAAACACGCAATTACCTATTGTCAACCAAAAAACTTGTACAGCTGAGATACTGTTTCGGAAATAGTGAATGTCTTTCAGAGGTAGCCGCCGACCTGGCAATAAAGACTACTTCATTGGTGTTTGTTTTATCATCTACGGAGTTCTTGCTGAGGTAAGATCTGTTCTAGAATAATCATCATTGTAAAACACAATTCAGCTTTTATGTTGGTGACGTTCATCTGCCGTGCGAAGAGACCAGGGATTAATTCAAACCTTTCGATGGAATCCTCGTCTATAGAGACCGGACACCGCTGTTAAAAATAACAGAATCCACTGGAGCTACAGTGGATTACGTCGAAACGTTGAGCTCTTAAACTAAAAAATAGTTCCATCAAAAAACCTGGCAAGGCAGAAGAATATTACTAATACAAGCATCAAAACGATTGGGGAGCTCAAGACTCAGTCGTTTATCTTCCTGTAAGATACTTAACATCGACTTTGACTTGATGCCAAAACTATTGCATAAATATCACAGTGGTTTATAAAGTCGACCCCTAACCACTCCATCTTGTTCCTCAGTATTACCTAGTTTGCGTCCGAGCAGTTTGCCACACTAATGGTAAGAGGCAGTGCCAACGATGACCAGCACGACTCGAAGGTGTGGTTAAAAGACTTTGAAGGGAGATTGGGAGCTTACTAGAAATCTAGCGAGTAATATAAATGTCTAAGAGACCATTGAAACAGGTTCTTCGTTCAGTCGTTGCTATTCTTTATTCTAGAATTTTATTGACCTAGACTCAGGTCAAACACGAAAACTAGAGCCTTCGATCAGTGACCACTCTGGAGCCCTGACCTAAATGTCATAAATGTCTCAGTGTGGTGAGCCTCTGAGATGAAAGCATCCGTTAGCCTGAACAAGAAATGAAATAATCTCGAAAATGCCTTGCAAAAAGCCGGGATCAACTCGATGACCTTCGCTGCATGCCACCGTCAATGCCGTCCATCGTCGTCTCTGGGGTTGGGTGAAAGCAGAAAGCAACAGATCCCAGTCTCAATGTAATGTTTTGATAAGAGATTAGTGATAGACACTTCTATGAAATTGGTTTGCTTTAGCTTGCTTTTAACTTTCTATTCGGTTTCGGGGAAGTGATGTCTGTGTAATCATAATTTTGGCGCACCCTGTACAGTAGATGCCCTGGCTAGAGGTCGTATTCGGAAAGATCCTTTAAAGATCGCTGAAATTATTTCCTGTAAAGCATGGGCAAATCTTGAGTTCAAGCTGAGGAAGAGCCAAAACTTGTGTTTAAGCATATTCCGAATCAACCTTTTCTCGATGTAGATCATCTAAAAAAAGGAATTTTATGAATTTCAGCTAATGTACATTTTGGTACTGCACGTTATCGCACGAAAAGAGCATCGCCGATTGGCCTGCTACAAAATCATGCTTGTCTTAGGTATGTTTGTTATTCGCAACATAACTAGGGCTGTAAAGACTAAAACTGGGTTTTCTGTTCGCTGAACGGTTACTCCAAGAGAGTGCGGGAATCGTAGAAGAGGAAAATGGGAAAAACGAGAAAAATCTTTCTCAGTGGTGGCTTTCTGTAGTCAGTCCGATGCCCCAGTTCCGTTATGCCTTAAAGGCACAGTTCGCGATAGTTTTGGGGTAACATTTTTAGTCGAAAAGCGAAAGTATAGGTTGGAAACAGTTCATCGGAGGTAAAGAAAGAGCGAAAATTTGCCGATTTCGAGAAAAATATAGCTCCTTAAAAGTAGGAAAAGTAGAGGTTGGACGAGATTGCCATGACGGAAATAACATGGAAGGAGTATTCGGACGAGATTCCAGTTGCTGCAGTTGCGCGAAGAGCTGACTACATCAAGCCGCAACTGAACAGAACTGCCTTTCAGTGTCGCTATGGGTCATAAGTTGTTTGACGCTTTCTACATAGGTTCTTTTAAGATCGATGCAGCCTCTACAATGCCGGCGAAACTCGTCCGAGGACACACACGGTCAATATTTGAGGCTTTATAACGTCCTAATTAAGACGTTTTCCGACCTAACAGCGCCAGATATGGTATACGAGGGGACCTCAAATACATCTTATGGGGAAATCCCGGAAACCATTTTTATCGTGAACTGTGCCTTTAACATATACACTTATTGTTAGAAGCAATCAGTTTTCACTTATTCTGCATTCTTCGAGCATTTACTGGCAACTTCCGCTCGGAGTACTGCACAAAATGAATTCTACATAACTGAAAAGCTCAGATTCCTTTCCTTCCTTTTATCTTTTCTGTTTTATCCGGTGTGCTAAAGGCACACCCCCGTGGGACTTTGAATAGATTGTTGTAGAAATACATAAATGAGTTGCTAGGATAATTTCTTTTCATTCTCACTGTGGTTTTCATCTCATTACACATATGGCTGGGCCACATCCTGACAAAGAGATGAAAATTTACGATAGTTGCCCTGCGAGGTTTCTCGAAATTCATTTTGTCAGGAGTATACGACATGTGTGCTATCGGAGTGAATTCTTTGCTCACCGGATATTTTTGGTTGATTGGTGCGAACTACTGTCTGATGCCATTACTGATGTACGTCGCCGGAGCAATCGGACTAGGTCAGTATTTACTATTTCATTCAGAAAGAAAAATTTATGCTCTTCAGTATGTGCTGTAGAGCTATCGAGAAGCGAGTAAACAGGCCAGTAAACGAGAGCACTATGAGAGTTGCTCTTACCGTGCTTCCGGGGCAAAACTTCGAATAATGATAGCGGAACTCAGATTTTCAGTTGTCCACCTCCGAAATTAGTGCCTAATTGGTATTTTAGTCCTTCCATTAGTTGATTAATAGCTGTTACAAGAAAGACATCGCGTGCATCGACGCTGTTTTAGGCTTGTAAAATGCATACAAACTAAGTACAGTAGTCTTCACTACGTATAACCTTGATTCCAAGAAAAATCGAGAATTTGTCTAAAATATCAAGTTGCCAGAAGGTAATGACATCCGAAACTCACTCAGTATTTACTATTTTACAATAGCGAAAAGCCCTTGGTCTGCATTCCAGGTCTATGGTGTGGTGCATGCATGACTTGCTTCGTTCTAGTAATCAATCGGTTGCTTGATCTTTGGAATAGACAGATGATGCAACTGGTAAGTCCAATTTTTCATGGATTCGTCTCCCTTGGAAATATCTTAAAACTCGAAATCACTGAAATTGAAATAGTTGTAAGAGACTAACAAGGTTTCGGGGATCAGAACAAGGTATTATGGTCTTTCACTCAGTCTCCATCCCTTGGTCAATCTTTCAGTCTCCCTCTCAGCAATAACCCGTTGAAGACCTTGTGACCCTTCGGAGGGTCTTACCCCCCCAGTGGAATTGTGTGGGCCGCTACAACAGCAGCCAGCAAAAGCGGGCTCGGTCTCAAAGCCGAGGCACGTTTGAAGCGCGCAGTTGCCAATGAGCCAACAAATAGACGCTGGCTTAGGCAATTTGCCATCCGTAATCGCAGTTTTTTATAAATAGCATAATAAAAACTTATATTACTTATGATGAAAGTCTACTTTGTCTCCATTTTAGTTGTTCAAAGATAACCGTACTTACATTGTTCTGCTGATTCCATTCTGCTACAGTATTTATTTCATCATTTTCACTCCACCTCTACTATTCAATTCGGATCATACTGCATGGTTTTTTAGCCCATTCATTGAGAAGAGCAACAATGCCGAGGTTCGGTGATCTTTTCGGTTTTTACATCCAAAATTTTGTAGTTCCGTCAAAAGTTCCTATACAAGCAGATACTGATATCTCAGACCTCATAATTCGCTTCGATTCCACGGTTGTGACTTGCCTCGAACGGTGATGGCTATACATAGCTTTCGAAATATTTCCGCACAAATTCCCATTAAAAGATAAGCCGATGAGTGCATGATTTCACTACAGATAAACCACCCATCCACTGAAGCTTTAATGTTTACTGCAGCGAAGATGATTCAGGCAAAAATTTCTGAATTCTTCAGCTTTAGTCAATCCCGCTTTGAGATACGTCCCCACTTTTGGAACCAGGATAGTGGCGTATAAGGGCGGTGACCAGCCGATATACAAGTCGGTGATTTTGTCATCTAGAAACTGGTACAAATTACCCGGATCAAGGAATGTCAGATGTCCGAGCCATCCAAGCCCTTCATCGCGTAAGGAGGCTTGGTTGGCTCGGACGTCTAACAATCCTTGTTTCAATCCCGGATCATACGTGTTATAGTGCTCCATTTGCCTCTGCACCACCTCATGTTCTCTGGCAGTTTTATAGGAAATCAGGATAACCTGTCATCACGTACGTAGATTTTCGAAAAATTCATCCCTCACCAAGTGAATAGAACAAATAAACAAACAGCTGAGTAGAAAATAAACGTCCCCATTTCTTCCATCCGCGTGAGCTTTCAAGATATGAACCTTGCTTCTGATTGTACCTGTTTTTCAGTATTTCAACTATCCTCACACGGCCAACAACCTGCTTATAGTGGTACTCACTTGTTTACTGTATGTTCAATACTCAAGGCTACTTCTGAAGAACTCCAAAATTGACAGAGGACTGTCGTGGGCACAGAAATCGGTGAATCCTTGGATACAACTGCAATATTCCTTTCAGAGATGGACAGCTTTGTGTCAAAGCCAAGAAAACTTCATTTCTTTCAACCTGTTCATTCAGTTTTTCTTACAATCGTCATCAATCTGCATGGCCAACTTGGTTGCTGCTCTGATCTACGTGTATATGCAGTTCTTCCCGACGCCCTACTATTTCGTCCTTATTGGTCACATCTGCTGGCAGTTCGGGCACGGTACTGTCGATTTTTTGGTGAAACCCCAGCCAAGTAACAACTCAATTCTCTTATGTGAAGGGTAGAGGGGCAGAATTTGAGAAGTAATAGAGTCATTATCCTGGAATTTTCCATTCTACCCGAATGAGATCCATTGAAGTGACTAGCAAATGGTCGATGAATTTTAGTCTTTCCTTTTTCAAAGAAAAAACAACACCTATGCCCTTTCACCTAAGAAATAAACAGCTGCCTCATTCCATTAATGGCGCTTTTATCAAGAAGTATCCCCAAAGATACATCGGCTTGATCACCTAAAGGAGCTTTTATTTTGATGACCATAAGAGCTAGTCGCTTACAGGGCCCGTGCCGAACGAGTCGGCACGGACTACTATGTTAAACATGTTGTTGAATATGGGACACCAAACTCCAATTCATAGAAGGCAAAAACAGTTCCAGTGTTCACCAAAGATCTGTACGCCTTCACACGGAACCTAATGATAAGAGAATTAGTGTACGATGTCATACCCGCTAGCATGAGAGAACTAAAATTTTTGGATTTCATTATTTTTGGTTTGGAAGGAAAAAATTTGATCTGACATTGTTTTCACGGTAACTTTGGTCTGAGCTTTGCTCAGCACTGTATAATGCCGTCATCGGTTATAAGGTGAGTCCAGTGAAACGTTCCCTCACGTGCTAGACACAACCACAATTCCATTATTTCACAATCAGGGCAAGCGCAGATTACTTCAAATTGAACTTAGCTAAAGCTTTTCTTTCTCAGTGTCAAAGCATTTTAAAAAAACGAAGCTCAAACGAGCGCTCGAGTAAGCAGAGAGTACTTGAACGTCCTTCTGAGATTATCAATCATTCCCCTTTACCTCTGCTATCATCTGTGAAATACCCGACCACGACCTTTTTCTTTGCAGCTTTTCAGAGCTGATCAAGGTTTTTAAGGATTCATTGAAGTGCCAAGTATAATGTACTGCTTCATGATAGATCTCCCGAATTTCAGGATTCCCCGCAATTGTCTACCTACTCTTAAATCGAACAATCCAGCGGGAGGCGCTTCTACTACTCGGAATCCGCAAACGTCATAACTCTATAGTCCCGAGCCGTACCATCCAGTCTAGGACATTGGCAACTTCGGATTTAGCATAAAGAGGACGAATCATTACTAATGTAGTATACAGTAGTCATTTTACCGTTTGAGATTCCTCGACAATGGGCCTGGGAAGGCTTTTCAGTACAACTTTTATTTTTATTGAAGTTTTCGTGTTGTGGTTCTGTTTTTGAGCAATGTAGTAGTCAGTCGATCGATATAGTAAACCATTAGAATTTTGAAATAATTTTGTATATAGTCGTTCTGCTTATGGATGTGCACTAGCATGAATGTGCAATTTTTCTTTTTGTCTTGTACGTAAAAGTGGAGTGGAATATCATCTGCGGTTTTTCCAGAGATTATTATTCGCTCCAGTTCTGCAATAGTTGAGAGTATTTTGAACCATGAGGTAGTAAAAGCGCTTTGTCTCTAGAGAAAAAAAGTTTCTTCAAAATTTATTATTCCGCCTAAAGGCTTAGTTCACGATAAAAGTGGTTTCTGAGATTCCCCCACAGGATGAATTTGAGGCCCATGCGTATACCATATCTGGCACTATTAGGTCGGAAAACGGCATAGTTATAGGAGTTATAAAGGCTCAAAGATTGGCTCGTGTGTACCCTAGGGCGAGTTTCACCGGCATTGTAGAGGCTGCACCGATCACAAGGGGACCCATCTAGGAAGTTTAAACACTTGTCATGACCATAGCGACAGTGAAAGACAGTTCTGTACAGTTCTGGCTTGTTGTAGTCAGCTCTTTGTGCAATTGCAATAACTGAAATCTCGTGCGAATACCCATTCCATGTTATTTCCGCCATGGCAATCTCGTCCAAACTCTATTTTCCCTACTTTTGTGGAGCCTTACTTTTCTCGAAATCGGCGATTTCTCTCGCTTTTTTAACTACCGGCGGACTGTTCCCAACCTATACTTCCGCTTCTTGAAAAAAAAAACAGGTACTTCAAAATTATCGTGAACTATGCCTTCAAAAATAAGAAATTTGGAATTTGCTTGAGAAAAAGAATCTCCGCAATTTCATAGGTTATTGTAAGGTTCCAACGTTGCAGAAATGATAGAGGTGCAAGAAAGGCCCTCTCGGAATCAATATCCTTAACGGCCTAGTAAAGTTGCAGGAACAGGGAGAGTTGCCTCCTCGCAGTTGTACAACCCTTATTGCACATAGTGCAAAGGTAACCGGTAATTGGATACAGTAACTTTCTTAGTTCGCAGCCTTGTTTCTTGGGTCGAGCGCCTCCTACCATTGAGGCCTGTTGGAAAGGTTTCCTCTGTGAGCAGCATGCTTGCTTTCAAAGATTGTCCCCCCACGAAGAAATTGATATAACAATTATTTTGATATGTCTTTCATTAGTTCGATCAGTTTACTCGAAGAAACCGCAAGCATCCAGAAAGTTCTTTCAAAATGTTCCTAGCTTGATCTCTAATCTGCTGCCCCCTTGCTGTCAACGTACGCACGGAGAAAAAGCGTGTCCCCGCCCTGGGGAAGTGGGCCGACTGGCTGCAAGCCGGAATTCGACCACGCGCTATCAAATATCACTTGTGNCATTGAGGCCTGTTGGAAAGGTTTCCTCTGTGAGCAGCTTTCAAAGATTGTCCCCCCACGAAGAAAATAATATAACAATTATTTTGATATGCCTTTCATTAGTTCGATCAGTTCACTCGAAGAAACCGCAGACATTCAAAATGTTCTTGGCTTGATCTCTAATCTGCTGCCCCCTTGCTGTCAACGTACGCACGGAGAAAAAGCGTGTCGCCACCCTGGGGAAGTGGGCCGACTGGCTGCAAGCCGGAATTCGACCACGCGCTATCAAATATCACTTGTGGTTCTTAGGGGACCGTCTGCTTTCGCAACTCCACGGAACCAGATATTCCCCTCAACGTCTGTTTGTCCAGGAAATCATTGACTGCTCGAGCGATGATAAACCTGACATCTCAGTCTGATTAGAGGAGCAGCCAGGTGTGAACTCACGTGGAACGGTCCGGCTTAACGGATGGTGCGAAAATTTTACCGTTCATTGCGCTTTTGATCAAACATTATATGGGAACACCTTTCCAAGCTATTATGTCAATAATAATCCATAGAACGCAGTTATCGGTTTCATTCGAAATCGTCTAACAGATAGATCACTAGTGATTTTTGGAACCTAATGTATCCATATTTCTGAATTTATTTTGAAAGTCTTACAAAAAAGCTTTTCTTCATCGGGAAAATCAATTTCCAACAGTGCCTGAATGGAATGATGGGATATTACACATTGAAAATGATTAGGAAAAAAGACAGGCGACTGCTCTGGCATCATTGAAAAATACTTGATTCCTAATCTACTTCGCAAAGTTTTAGATGTTTTACTCATACAAGATTAGCTGTTACCAAGCACCTGAGCGACAATAACAGCAGCTACTTGAATCAAAAATGACTATGAAGGGATAAGGAAACATTTTTCCAAACATTGGCTTCGCAACTCCTCTTCTATTGATCAGTACAAAGTACAAAAGTAGAGCGTCGATTCAACTGTTTGGAATTCCGCTCACTTTTTCCCTATATTTGGTGAGTTGTAAAGCAAATTATAAAGGGAGAATGTGAGAAAAGTGAATGTATTCTGAAAGCCACGCATTGCTATCTCGTCAAAGCAGCCAAGGAAAGGAAATAGAGGTAGGACGGAAAATTGTGATTGAGATTGTAATGTGCCGAAGTTGAAATCCAATTATACAATCAGTGGACTGTGAGCATACGTTTGTTCAATATTGACCCATTTAGCTCTGAGCTTTTGCTTTTTTTGCTTCTTTGGTTTTTAATTTCAAGAAGCGGAATTCTACATGATCTTTACGGAAACGTGTCGAGTTGAAATAGCGGGTCAGAAGAACTCAAAGCTGTTGAGGTCATTACTCAAATGGGATTCCAGAAAAAAATCTGATTTCTGCTGAAACTAATGGACTCGGAATAGAAATAGAAATTGAAGTCGAAGCAAATGGAAAGAACCTCGAAAAACACGTTGACAGTCATATCTGTCCGATGGCAATGTACATGTCATTGAGGGAAAATGAATTATTTCAGCCTGCATTTCTTTAAGTTTTCAATTCCCTAGAAACACTCTACAGAGGTTACGAAAATTCATATTGTTTACCCACTTGCGTTGCCTTGGGTGGGTTGCGGGGAAAATACAATGGCCTGGGCGCTAACGGAAAAGCGGAGATTTCCTATTCTGAATTGAAAAATGTGTCTGAACGCTGCAAAAATCGACTTCCCGAGAAATGACTAGAGCTTTGCATTTTTCCTCGGCATCTCTGTGAAGGTGAGTCTCATTCTGAGGAAATATGTATGCTGGGCGTTCTTTGAGTATTCCTTGGTTAAATGCTCTCGAATGTGAATCTGTCTTGAGAAACCCTTTTTACGGAAATGTTGTGATGGTCAGCAACTAGCAAAAAGAAAAGTGAATTTTTTCCCGACTTCCTCAATGAAGGGGTTCAATTACAGCAAACAGTGCAGCTGCCGATGAAGCAGTCCGAATATTCTCCTGACCCTTGAATAGGAACACCATGAGGGAGTTTGTACACAAAATTGGTGGAAATCGTACTAAAAAATTATATATTTCAAAGCTACAACTAATCACACTTCGAACTTCCATCAATTATCCAGACTTCTTTGGCATAGAATGTGCCTGAGTTGTGAATGGTCGGGTTCGTTGATTGAATATTGGATTCCATTCTGGCTTCTGGTTCTACTACAGCCAAGGAATAAGATCAGTTGATTTTTGATTGTTGAGATTCTTAGTACAAGAGCTCAGCTAAGACGAAATATACTTTGTGACAAAAGTAGACCTTCAAGAATTGAACCGCTTTTGAGGGGTGCTTCCGGATGTAACTGTAACACTATACCAGCGTTGAGGTAAGGGCCCAAAATAGAGCTGATTAAACTATGGAATAAAGCTAGGGAAAAAGGCGATCGGTAATTCTATCTCTATAAGAATATTCATAAGGTTTTGAATAAATTTAGGAGTAATCTGGACGATCTACACGTAGATGATTTTTGATCTGTTTTATGAAGAGAGATATCGACGAGGCATGCATGAGGTGCTTGACGAAAGAACCGTCTACAGAAGGCTTTTCAACAAACCTTAATACACCCAAGCAGCTAGAATACTCCCTAAGAGGAGCATCAGCTCATAGCCTGATTATCACAGGAGTCGTGGTGTTGATGGTGGCCATCGGGAGCAAACATAAAACCGCTCGTAAACGATACCGACCCAACTCGATCGGAACCGATGACATAACGAGTAGAACACTCGCATTTATCTGACAGCTTCTAGGGCGATGTTTTGAAAACGGATAAAACTAGTGGATAAATTAACCCTGAAGGGACAAACAATGGGAATCCAGCGATAGACTATACCAAGACCAAATCGATTTTATTTGGAACCTCATGCCACATCTGAATGAGACATAAAAATTAATTTTTTCAAGAATTCTATCAGGAATGTATAAATGCTTCCCGAATCCATCAATTGCTGTAGAAACAGCAGGTCAAAGATATGTATCGAGGTGGATCTTAAAAGAAGTCTTCATCAAGAGATAAGCACAATTACAGTTTTGACGACTCAATGTATCAACGAGTAAAAGTATCTCCATCAATTTTCACATTGAACAAAACACCTTTCGAAAAATTGTGAATTCCCTCCTATACCTGCTCACCAAGGAAAGTGAGCGACCTTTGATGATTGCTATGCATTCTGGGAACAAGAGGGTAGCGAACCGAGGAAAGAATGTGTATGGGTATGAAAGCCTCTGTTATGGCCCGATATATCGGGTTCCGTATGCTGCATTTAGTGATTAAGGTAGTAGTTACCTTTCGAAAAATTGTGAATTCCTCCTATACCTGCTCACCAAGGAAAGTGCGCGACCTTTGATGATTGCTGATTGATTCTGGGAACAAGAGGGTAGCGAACCGAGGAAAGAATGTGTATGGGTATGAAAGCCTCTGTTATGGCCCGATATATCGGGTTCCGTATGCTGCATTTAGTGATTAAGGTAGTAGTTGTTACGACGCAGCTTCAAGGGATGACTGTAGAACGGGCGCACTTCATTTACTCTCTGTTAGGCCCTGAGGAAGACATATGGGAACACTTCAGTTCCTTTTCAGGGCCTCGTTTCTTCGCGGTTGCAACTGAGGTGTACCTTAGAAAAAAAAGTACCTTAGAAAAAAAAAGAGAAAAAGGACAGGATATAATAATTGGATTAGCTTGTCTAATGCAAACTTTTACTGAGAAAATTCCAACTTTTTTTTGTGAACGTCCGATGTAAGATAGTTGTTTCATTTCATCATATTCGGATCATCGGTAGTTGAAATTCGATGCTTTTTCGTTCACGCAAAATTTTTTCTCTCTGTTGATCTATATGATGACACAGCGTGAGCATTCCGGAAGGGTTGAGTCATGCGGACGCGGACCGGTTGACCGTTAATTTGGCGCCGTATAAAAGCACCGCGACGGTGGCGCATACCTCAGCTCGCCGACGTCAAGCAGAAATGGCTCATTTTGCTCGACTTGCATTTGTTGTCGTACTGGCTTTTTCTGCGACTTTAGCTGAAGATGTGCCTACGGTACGGGAAATTCTACGAGCTCATTAGTACTACCTAACTAGAAAGGGTTCCCATATTCCCGTATTATTGTTATACCTATTCTTTTGAATGATTCAGAATGAGACCTCCATCCAGCTAACGCGAGCCAAACGGCAATGCTGCTCATCTTCGTCTAGCTCCTGTTGCCCGCAGCAGCAGCAGGTTAAATTTTAATGCCTTTTTTAATTCTATCCGTGTTAATATTGTATTTATTACTACTTGATCCTTTCTATGACCGGCTGAAATCATGGAGATTTTATTTAGACAATGCAGTGTGTACCGGTATGTATCCAACAATGCCAGGCCTCTTGCCAAACTCAACAATGCTCCCAGAGTTGTGCACCCAGCTGCAACCAACAGTGTGGGGGTAGCCAGGTGAGTCGACCTCCTCCAGATCCCAATAATACCTCGACACTTCGATCCCAGAACGCTGCAAGATTAAGCCATTCGGTCATCAAGTCCGAAGTCAAATAAGGTGGACACCGGGTAGACAACCAGAATTTGATCAGCAGTTCTGTCTATGAGCGAGAGGGGGTGAGCTGGAAATTGCGAATGAAACACATGCTCGGAATATTCCTTCCGCTTGCGGAATGTTTTTCGAAAGCGCTTTATTGTCACCAATAAAGAGACCGTAGTTTCGAATAAGTGACTGCTTTTATGAACTGGAACCGCTGGAGGTTCCCTTGATTCTGTGTCCTCCACATCAGCAAAGCCTCAGAAGCAGCGATTTTATTGACAGAGATGGTCACAGGAATTTCGTGACTTCTACATCTTTGAGCTTAAAACAGTTGGCGACAAATTGTTTTTAAATTCAGCAAGTGATCGTTCTGCAACAAGACAACTGCCAATCTTGCCAGCAGTCATGCAGTAACTCCTGTGCAACTCCTTCCTGTCAAAGCAGTTGCCAAGCGAGCTGTGCTCCCCAGTGTGGAACTCAAGCTCCTCCACAGGTAAGCAAGCCTTCAGGCTCTCATCTTAAGCAAACAGATAGAGAACTGTTTGATTTTCAGTTTATAGCTGAAGCTCCGCATAAGGAGAAGCCTGATTTCTAGTTTGGGAGCATATCAACATTCTTGCTCGCATAACTCTTCAAAAACGGTACTACTTGACCATCACAGAATAGGCCTATTGCTGACGCCAATTCTCATGCTACTCAACTGTTACCAAACCCCTGAACCACACCATGGGTAATGAACCTGGCGTTTTTCTTTAGGCAGTTCATTCCCCTTTCAGAGAATCCCTCAATATCCCTGAAAAAAGCATGAAATTTCTTGAGTCCAACAAAATCGTTAGAACGCCAACCCAGGTGAACCTTTGAGCCATGATGGCGAGAAGGGTTCTTGTTCCACTTCAGCTGGAGAGCTATAAAAAATGTGCTTCAAGCACCGTCCGAGATGTTCTATTGTGACCTTCCTCTTTGTTTCGGCAATTCATCCTTTCATGCAGGTCCGGCGCGTCTACTCGGACGAAATTTGAGCTTGTTTGGGCCAACAAGTGCGGCCCTACGAGTCCAAAGACATCTAGATTTTATGTGTGCTTGTGAACTGGGTTCATTCATTCGGGTTCCACTATCGACTGCTCCTTTCATATAACGTCCTTCCAGGTGATCGTTCTCCCGGCTCAGGATCAGTGCAGTGCTTGCCAACAGACCTGTCAATCTAGTTGCTCCAACCAAAACTGTAACTGTCAACAGTCGTGTGCTCCCGCTTGTGGTAACAGCAACAACAACAATCAAGTGGGTGTTTTCAAAAAACGAGAACAAATTCTTTGAAATGGTTAGTTTTCCATAAAATTGTCAGTCTTCCAGGTAATCGTGATCCAATCCAGCCAGGACAACTGCAATAATCAGTGCAATCAGCAGTGTAGCTCATCCTGTTCCACTCCCGTTTGCGCCTCTTCCTGCCAGTCCTCCTGTTCCTCAGCATGCGCTCCACAACAGTGTGCTCCAGCCTGCATGCCAACTTGCTCATCTTCCTGCACACAACAGCAGCAACAGCAACCAATCGTGGTCGTCGTACCTCAGGGTGATAGCTGCTCCAATTCATGCCAGTCTCAATGCAGCTCCGCCTGCTCGACTCCCTCGTGCCAGCAATCCTGCAACAACCAGTGCCAAGCCTCTTGCAACCCATGCCAAGGAAACTCATGCAATAATAACCAGCAGCAGCAGGTACTGATATAGAACACAGTACATCACTAGTGCAGTCTCTTTTCCTTATCCACATGTATTCAGATAATCGTCGTTCAACAACAGCAGCAGAGCTGTCAGAACCAGTGCCAGAGCAGCTGCATGAACACCTGCCAAGCGTCGGCTCCAACCGTTTCCTGCCAGCCTGTGTGCCAGCAAACGTGCCAGCAGACCTGCCAACAGGCTGCCCAGATTGTGGTGAGTGTCGACCGCTTAAGTGGCGAACGCGAACTCCCAGTTCCTCAAAATGACCTTTCATCTTAAGGTACCATGCCAGCAGACGTCATCAGGATGCGGCTGCTCAAGCGGTTACAGCCAATGCGGAGGATCGTGCTGTCGCCGACGTTGACAAGCTAAATGCTCCGCTTATAACTGAATCATCGTGTGTGTACAAAGTGATAGCCGCCTAATTAGAATAATTGAGGATGCTTTTATGTATTACTATGTATAAATGATACTTTGTATGATCATGCGACAGCATTTCAAGAGTCAGGGTATATGGAGAGCATCCAAGACTACGACAGAAAGGAGGTATTTCCCGTTCTCCACTTATGGTTGAACATAACCCGCTCCTCTTCTAGTGCTGAGAAAATGATTGGGAAAAGTAGGAGGCCTTGAAATCTGGCGTGAGAGCATCTGGCTCAGCTCTATTGAGAAAAATCTTGAAAACACTGATAGGAGGCCTGACCGTTTCTTGCATCATTAACATGCGGGCGAAGCAGCGAGCTACTATGTATTTAATAAGTTTTCTTCACTGCTCATCATTTGAATACTGAATTTTTGAGCCAAAACAGACTTTTCCAGTTGAGCAATCAATGGAATCACGGTAGGGGAAAGAGAAGGGAAAGTAACTTTTCGAATCACCGTGCCAAAATGTTTTTAGCCTAGTTTTCGAGAGCAACCTATCGGAATGCTACAAAGTGAGTGCCTCTGTGAGCCCTATTTGCCCTTTCCACTTGCCTTCTCCACTGAACCGCTGGCGCCTTTGGTCCTTTATCGTACTCAACTTTTGAACCGATTGTTCGTTATATTGGATTTCCTATATAGATTGCTGCAACACTCCAAAATGGTTCATTCCGCTGAGCTTTTGCGGCCTGGTATCTTTCCGTATTAAAAATACCAATTTATACTGTACTCTGGAAACTGCTGCTCAGGAACCATCACGACGATCAAACATGACCCATCACGTATCGGTCTTAATACCGAGGGTAACAAATGAGCAAGATGGAAACGGTAGTATGCAACTGCAAGAGAACCTTCACAAAATGGCGAAACCATAATATCCTAGTAAGTAAGTATGTACGCTGCGCCATCAAGCACTATGTAA